GTCCCCCCCCCCCCCCCCCAGTCTACTGCCAAATTCCTTTTGGAGCTAGGGTTATAAGGGACGAAGCGCCATTAAATCCTTTACTAGGAAAGGGATAGGAGTGTGTGTGTGTGTGGTGGGGGTGTACCGAGCCTGCCCCTCCCCCATCTCAAAGCAGATACGCTCCCCCTTTCCGTAATCCGCTCATGCTGGTCCCACTGACCTCCACCTCCCCCCCTAAGCCGAATCTCTTGGCACCTGGGTGTGTGTGGGTGGGGAGGGGAATCCAATCTCCCTTTCCCTCCATCTGGCCTAGTGGACAAAGGGCAGGGGGACCATCTGGTCCCGCCAGAGTGGGGGAGGAGCCCACAATGGCAGTCCCAAGGGGAAGGGGGAGGGGCGGCGCTCCAGAGACAGCAAAAGCATGTGAGGGCTAATTGCATCACTTTATTTCAGGGACTTCCACAGTCGGTCTCCCCATCCCACCCCCAAACCTCACAGCAGAAAACAGGTTTGGCTGAGAAGATTCAGGCCTGATGACCCGGGGAGGTGTGCAGCCCCCCCCCCCCCAAAAAAGAAGGGGAAAAGATAAATGGGGATATTTGAAAGTCAGAGGGGTGTACCTCCCCTTCTGAGGAAGCAATTCTGGTCTGGGACCGGTTTCAACGTGTGGGTGAGAAAAACCTAGGGCTAGCCACGTCCTTATCCTGGCAAGTGAGTCTTTTACAAAGCCTGGCCCATAAAACGGTTCTCACCTTCCTTCACAGGGAATTGCCCGTGTACATGGGCAAGCATGTGATGCAAAGCTGTACAAGATTGGGGGTATCGCCCGGCGTTGGTGGCACACGCCTTTAATCCCAGCACTCGGGAGGCAGAGGCAGGTGGATCTCTGTGAATTCGAGACCAGCCTGGTCTACAAGAGGGAGTTCCCGGGCAGCCTCCAAAGCTACAGAGAAACCCTGTCTCGAAAAAAAAAAAAAAAAAAGAAAGGGGGGGGGGGGGTATCATTCCAGTCATGTGGACCCATGTACTGGTCCCAAGGGAAGGGCTCTGTTTGGGTGTGGGATGACTCTAAACAAGCATTCATACATGTGTGTTTTCTGTGGCCTGAGAGGGGTGAGGGAGTGCAGGGAAGGTCTGGCCTGCAGAGCAGCTGAAGAAGGAGGTAAAGGAAAAGAACAGTAAAGCATCGAAAGCCAAGCAAGGAGCCTGTAGGAGAAGCTCAGAGATTACCCGAAATCAGATTTCTCCCCTTGAATCTGGTTCCACTTGATTGTACCTCCTTGATCTGATCTGTCACTGCAAGAGAAAAGCAGAAATGACAGGAACCCAGGCAGATGTATAGACAGACCTGTTGCAGGCGAGGTTCAAGCCAGAGACCAAAAGACAGTGGGAGATCCCAGAGCAGGCAGGACTGAGCCTCATGCTAGCCCCTGTAGGAAATCCAGCAGCCCTGTGTGCCACTCATCAGGCTTGTCCAGGTAGCAAGGATGCCCCGCCTTTTCCATGACCAGCACTCTGTGGTTGGGTAGCTGCTTCAGATGTTGAAAGCTGGAGGAACCCATGGGGTCCTGGTCTCCATATACAATCAGAGCTGGGGTCTGAGAGGAAAGGAAAGGAGGGCAGAATCAAGGGGCTTGCCACGCCAGCCTGTCTCCTAAAGCTCAGCTTCAGCCCTCACCACTTTAGTCTCTTCCTGCCCACCCGAGGACAGATAAGCTGATCCAGTGGTGGGGACCTGAATTTGTACCTTCCCCACTACACAGTTTCATACAGGGTTTAACGCAGTAATCTATCAAGTCAACCAAAAGGATCTCCCCAGAAAGCACCCCAATGTTTGCCAGCTTCCCGTTGAGGAAGGCCCAGGGATGGACCCCACCTTTCTCCTGACATGCCACTTCAGCTTCACACACATACACACACACACACACACACACACACACACACACACACACACGTACCTTAACACTGGCATAGTCAGCAGCCTTGATTTTGTCTGTGCAGATGGGAGCCACTGGTACATAGCCCCGGAGTTGGGACCCAGGAGCCACCAGGAAGGGCAGTGCATACATGCCACTTAGTGATGGACTGATCACAACTGGGGGTCCCAGCTCCAAGGCATCCACCACAGCTGCTAGGAAGCTGCTAGGGGCCAATTCCCCAATAGGAGCAGGAGCTGCTGCTTCCTTGGAATGCCCAAGACCTGCAGGGATTCAGGTGTAGGAGACACAAGGGCAATGAATGGGAAGGGTCCCTTCTTTCAGCAAGTGCTCTTTGGCCAATCCTTCTGTGCCCGGGTCATGTAACACCAGTGAACTGGATTCATTCACACCCACAGCCCAGTGTATTTATTATATTATGGCAAGAATGAGGCACTTCTTTCCATGTTTGCGTTTATACTAACAGTGTCCCCGAAAAGAATTAAGCTCTAGAGTCTATCGGGGACAGGTCTAAGTCCCAGTTCTCCATTTACTATAAAGATGACCACAGGTCAGGTCTTTCAGCCCTCCACAGCTGCCCATTTTTCCCTCTCTGTTTAAAAGGGACGAGGAACATCCCTGCTGTTTAAACATGTGAAAACTGTTTTAAAGGCACCTAGCTCTGAACTGACACCAGATGGGGTCCGGGAGGATCAAACCTGAGGGGAGTGGTTCTGCACTGGGACCTACCAGTCCTTAACAACATTAGTTATGGACCTTCACCCTGAAGCTTAGTCCAACCCACTGCTGGAAGCAAGCCTGGCCAGGGTGGAGATCTGCCCTTGAAACCTGAAACCATATCAGCTCTAGCACGTGAGAGGATTAGATCCAGTCAGATAGGCTATGCCTCCAATTTCTCACTAGACACTAAAATGGGTGGGCTTGGTGATCCAGGTTAGGACAGGCAATCTGGAAGCTATTCCCACCTCCTGCAGTGCCCAAGGACTCTGCTTGCAAATAGGTGACCAGGTACCTAGCCATCCATCAGGCCCTGTTATGCTTCCCAAGGCCCTGAAAGACTTACTGTCAGTCCTTCCACCAGCCTGTGAATAAGGCTCTGTCAGGGTACTTTACTTCCAATCATTACTACATTACTACTCCTCAAGTACTAGCTAATACATTCACACGGACAACCCCCCTCTGTGCTCACTAGGGACAGTCACCTCCTTCTGTGGTATGGTACTTAACCACTAGAGATGACAGAAGTGAAGCCCAGAGACATGGAGACACGGGCTCAAAAACAGTGAAAAGCAGCTGAGCAGTTTATCCACCCTACTAGAGCAAGACTTGACAAGTTCAAAGTTCAAACGCACTATATACCTAACCGTCAAGCTCAGGGCCCTGCCTAGCTAAAGCCTTCCAGTCCTCTGTCTTCAAGTTTCCCCCAACCCTGGCCCAGAAACCCACCCAGAAGTACCTGGTAGGTCAATGGCCACAGCCCTGTAGCCAGCCTCGGCCAGCCTATGCAGAGTACCCAGGTTCTGCCAGGTCTCAGAGGAGTAGCGGATACCATGCAACAGCAGCACAGAAAACCGAGCAGCCTGCCCATTGCCAGGCCGAGCCTCTCTGAAGAAGAGTCCCTGGCCCTGCACCTGGATGGTGCCCTCATGCTGATCCACACTGGCCATGCTCGATGGGGGTGTGCCTGCAGTTCAAAGCCAGGCTGATGAGAACACCCTGCCTGAGGACAGCAGGGAGCAGTTAAGTGACTACCAGGTCCCTAGGATCTGAATTAAAGTCAGGAAAAGCAGGTGTTATTTCTGTGTCTTCCACTCAGTTGTGTAATGTTGGGCTTTGACTGGCTTAACTGAAATATGGCAGAATTAGGAATGTCACGTAAGAATTTCAGAAAAACTGTCAAGAACTGGTGGTTCATGGATTCCGGCACTCTGGAGGCAGAGGCAGGTGAATCTCTGTGAATTCAAGGCCAGCCTGATCTACCAAGTTCCAGTACAGACTCCAAAGCTACAAAGAAACTCTGTTTCAAAAAGCAAAAGCAAAAGCAAAACAAACAAAAAACTAACAAAAATTAAAAAGGTAAAAATTCAGAGAAACTATCTGAGCTGGGTAGTGGTGGCTCAAGCATTTAGTCCCAGCAATCAGGCGGCAGAGGCAGGCAGATCTCTGTGAATTCGAGGCCAATCTGGTCTACTGAGCGAGTTCCAGGACAGCCTCCAAAAGCTACAGAGAAACCCTGTCTCGAAAAAAAAGAAAAAGAAAAAAAGCTTGATACATACATGCCCGGCACATAGTGCTCAATCGAGGATAAACACTGTCGTGATCGGCCTCATCTAAACCAGCACTATCACACAGTGGGTGAATTGGCAATACAGGCAGGAGTGAGACCAACTTTGTTTGGGATAAAGGCCCATTTTCCAGAGGCACCAGTCAGCAAGAACTTTGGGATTCCTGATTGCCAGGGACACACGGGGTGCCCAGAGCGCTGGCCGCCGGAGTCCAACCGGTTGACGCAGCAGTCACCCGCGCTACGTACACGGCGCCCCACAATTCCGGATTCCTGGGACTGTCTGAAGGAATCACTGGAAGGAGGGGCAGCCCAAAGAGAGGTGACCTGGAGAGCCGAGATGAGAAGACTTGGGGCAGGTGGGTTCTGAGTGGCAATGCAAAGAAAGAGTGGAGAGCGCAGAGTGGTACCTGAGAATTTGCGTTGTCTTCAGCAGGAGAATGGCGGGTGCTGTTGGCGGGTGGGGAGAAAAGCAGGAAAGGGGCCGGGCAGGGGGTGGGGATAGGCCTGGGGATTCTGGGCGCCCTCTTTTGGTCACAAACGACCACAAACTACACCTTAACCGTTCGTTCTCCAAACCCGCCCCCAGCCCCAGGAGCCCCAAGAGCCGGGCTGAAGATCTTGAAACCCTCAGCTATCTGCCCCACACGGAAGTGGCCTGCCTTGAAGGAGAAAGCTATTTCTGGTATCCCTGCTGTCCGCCCCCCTAAACCGCCCTCACCCCGAGTCAGGACAGTCCAGGGACGAGCTGTGCACCTGTCATGAAGCTGACAGCCTACACATCAGCCTGTAAGGCTCCGCCAAAGTTCAGCCAGGTGGCATGGTAGTCTTTTCTGAGCCTATAGAATGGGTCTGGCTAATGACAACCTTGGCAGAAAACCAACAAGTAGTGAACCTTTTTGCACCCTTCATGGCCTCGCTGCCCCGGGGCCTGGTTGCAACACAGAAGCCTGAACCTGGGGCAGACCAGATGCTGATCACATGTTACCAACCAATAATAAGTGTACTGACCAGGCCCAGAACTCAGTGTCTCCCGACCCCCAGGCTCTGATCCGGCAGGGGAATGGGGCGAGCAAAGAAAGTGCTTGAGCGGAAGCCTGGACATCATCTGGCATTTCCACTAGAAGACCTCGGCGCCAGGAGGCCTTGGTGTTCCGAGGCTTGACCTATCCTTAAGTCCTATGACATCCCCAAGCGGTGGGTCTTTTCTTAAACCCCATTTTGCAAATAAAACGATGGAACGAGAAGGACCGGTGGCTCTCCACAGGCTCTCGGGTCTTAGGCCAATAACAATTTGGTAAATCTGGGCCGCTGGGGGCTGGCCTCGGTGTTTTGGGGCACCGCCCCAAGTCCTCCTTTGGTAACTAGGCAAGGCCCGCAGCTGCGTACTGCGCAAGCGCGCAGGGGTGGGGCGACTTTGGCCTGCCGGTTAACCAAGTCGGAGGTCGTGCCAGACTCGGTGCTGTTTGGCTGTTGGCTCCGCCTCGGCCGGCCCCGCCTCACCCGAGCCCGCCCGGTCACCCCTGTTACCGCGGTGAGTGTCTCCTGGGAATGAGGCCCGCAGGTTGTCCGGGGCCGGCCCTCTTTGTCCCCGCCGCTTGGGGCAGTGTCCTTCGGAAGGCGCAAGCGCTGGGCAACACGTGTGCAGTGTGCCTGTGCTGTGCGCGCGCGAGTGTCTGCGTGTGTTCTTGAGTGTCTGGGTTTAAATGTTTCTCTTCGCTTTTGCGGAGGATAGGGTGGGGTGGGGTGGGGTGTTCACCGGTTTGCCCGCTTGCTTGTATGTCTTTTTGTGTTTATCTCTGCATCTGACGTGTGTATTTTTGAAGGTTTCTGTGTGTCGCTCTGCTGGTGCGTTTCTTCCCATGCCTGTCCCCCAAGGTCCTTGCTTGCTAGGTAGTGTGTCTTTCCCTGGGTCTTTGGGAACATGGGGGAGGTCAGAGAACAACTTGCCGGAGTCCGTTCATCTTTTACCATGTGGGTTCCAGGAATTAAATAGAGTCAGATCGTCAGGCTTGGCAGCAAGTGCCTTTATCTGTAACTTTTCTCCTTTTAATATTTTATTTTGGGGTGTGTGTGAACAGATACAACGGGGTGTGTATGGAGGTCAGAGCTCAGTTTAGGGAATTGATTCTTTCCTTCTGTGGGTTCTGGATACTGAACTCAGGTTGTCAAGCTTGTCTGCAAGTGCCTTTACCCATGGAGCCATCACAAGAGCCCCTTATTTATTTTAGTACAGGGTCTCACTACATTGCCTAGCTAGGTCTTGAACAGCCAGTACTCCTGAATTTGGACACTTGATTTTTTTGTCTTTGTTGTTATTGTTGTTGCTGTTTTTTGTTTGTTTGGGTTTTTGTTGTTGCATGGATCCTTCCTTCCACTTGAGTGCTGCACTCTGAGGCCAGGACCGTGTGCTGGTGTGTGATTAAAAGACTGGGTGTGATTTTGTGCTTTAATACTCTGAGGGTCTGCATGTGGTTTTGGGGGTGTTTGGTTTTGTTTGTTTGCTTACTATGAGACAGGGTCTTACCAAGCAGCCCAATTGGCCTCAACCTAAAGTCCTCCTGTCTCAGTCTCTGTAGCTTCCATGCCTATGTATGGGTTTTCATTTGTTTGTTTTTGTTTTGTTTTGTTTTGTTTTTTTTGAAAGGGTGTCTTTCTATGTAACCCTGGCTGATTTGGAACTCCCTATGTAGACCAGGCTGGCCTCAAACTCACAGAGATACTCTTGCCTGTCTCCTGAATAATGGGATTAAAGCCGTAGGCCACCATACCTGGTTTGTATATGGTTTTGAAATAAGTGTCCATCTCTCTGCCTTCCTGATATCCGACTGTTGTGTGACAAAATTTTTCCTGAGGAGACAAAACACAGTTGTCTACTCACTCCAGATAGGGAGCCGTGGCAGACTAAAAGTACGGATACCACCAAATCTTGGTAAACCAATGACCCCAAGTATTGGGGTTACTCACAGGAGCAGAAATGACTCAAGGACAGCTGCATCACCAAAGCCTACCCCAGCATGGGTGACAGTTCACAAAAGCTGGGAATTTGGAGCACCCTGCACAGCCTGCAGGCAACTCAACAGGCTGGAGAGTGTCCTTTCCAAGTGACTCAGTTGGTCTAAAGCCCTTCCAGGCAGTTCACCTGGTTTCTTCTTCTTCAGAGAACTGCTCTGGTCTCAGTCTTCTTTGCAGTTTAGCTTTATTTGGTAAGAGAGAGAATCTCACCCTTTATTATTTACCCGGTACGGAGGGGCCCAGTGAATCTGGTCAGTTTCAGGGAGTTGTTGAAGCTAATTTTTGGTTGTTTACCTCCCTGCTTAAGGAGCTCCCCTGAGACATGGAATGTTTTGACCTCAGAGGAGACTGTTAACATAACCACGCATGTAATTTTATGGATGTTACTGTAAGAAACTGACTGTCCATAGGCCAATGTGTTGGCAAGAAGGCTGCTGTTGTACATTTGGGGAATAGCTTGTTTTGTTTTGAGACAGGGTTTCTATGTGTAACAGTCCTGGCTATCTTGGAACTCACTTTATAGACCAGGCTGTCCTCGAACTCAGATCTACTTGTCTCTGCCTCCCAAGTACTGGGATCAAAGGCGTGGGTCACCACCACCCAGCGGCGAATAGCTTCTTGAAGTGTATGGAAGCAAGACTGTTGTCTCTGTGTGAGTGTGTATACATTCCAGTATCCAGAGCCAGCACAGTTTACTCCTCCTGACCTCCATCTGCCCAGCAGTCTGCATCAGAACCTCAACAATTGTCTAGTGTTGGAGGCCCTGGGTTGCCATGGCAACGAATAAAACCCCACCCCTTCATCCTAAAAGAAGCACAGGTTGGCCCCTGGTGGACCATCAAGAGAGTTCCTTCTCAGATGTTCCCTCGCCTCGTGGGAACCTGAGCTAAGGCAGACAACCTTCACTGCTCCGTGTTAGGAAGAAGAGCGCGCTCCTTCTCTGCCTGGCTCCTGATTTTATCAGCACTGGCTCCTGATTTTATCAGCACTGGAGGATCTGCTGCTGCCCACAGCTTTCTGACTTCAGAGCCAAAGAGTGAGATCTCCACAAGGGTCCCACAGTCAGCAGAGGTGGATGTGGCCCAGTACAGGCTCCAGCTCCTAGGCCTACCACAGACTCAATTCACACTCAATAAAAATGCATCCACAGCCAGGCAGTGGTGACACAAGGCCTTAGGTTCCATCACTTGGGAGGCAGAGGTGGATGGATCTCTGTAAGTTCCAGGTCAGCCTGCTCTACAGGTTGAGTTCCAGGACAGCCAGGGTCACATAGAGGAACCCTGTCTTGGGGAGAAAAAAAAAATGCACCCAGAAACAAGACAAGCTTGTTCTTAGGCCCAAATAAACGATGACAGGGACATCCCATCCCCACCTGCTTAGGGGGAGTGTATCATGGACGTCACACAGGAAGCTTAGGCAGGTACCAGGAGCTTATCCCAAGTTACCAAACTCAGCTTGTGGCAGAGGGGAATTCTCAAACCAAGACCACCTGCCCTGCTTGAGTCCCACCCTCCAGGCTAACAAAGGCACCATACTGGAGGAGTTCAGGAAGCAGATCGTTTGACAGACGTGGGGTGGAAGCTGGCCCATATCTAGGCCAGCTGTGCTCCTCCCAGCCCCCAATATCTCAGACCACAACATTATCCCCAACATTCTCTGTGAACTGTCCCCTCCTAGTGCACAGGGTATTCTGTTCGTAACAGTATTCTAGTCATTGTGAGGAAAGAACTATTTCCAGGCATGCCCTCAGTGGAGGTCTTTGCACACGTTAACCCTTTGCAGTCTTCACTCCTCCATCCACCACTGAGTCTGCAGTTCGTCCGTCTCCTGCCAATACTGTGTTTTCTTCCAGTATTGGCTTGGTATTTTGGAAACTGGCCCCAGGTCCCAGGTCCCTTCTGCTGAGGCAGAGATTCTCTTTGTGCCAGAGAACTATAGTCAGATCTGTATTTTCTTGTGGCCTCTGAGTGCTTAATGTAGAGAGTCAAGCACAAAGGCTACGGCCAGAAGAGCTGGTGTAGTTAGCACAATGATAATGGTGGCCACTAAACGTGCCTGTGCCCGAGACACATCTCATGCCCTTCTCCACATAGTGGAGTGTCCCAGGCCTTTGTCCTGGCCGGAGGAGTAGTTGGGTATGATCATCCAGACATTCATCTAGAGAAAGGGAAGGGAAGAGGCCCGAGGTCTTCCTCAGCCTGTCTCTTCCCTTTTCTTCTCCAGGCTGTGTAGTACAGACCTTCATGAGCCGGTACCAGGCAGCCCTGCTGGGTCTAGGCCTGCTGCTCATGTTTCTCCTGTATGTGGGGCTGCCTGGCCCGCCTGAGCAGACTTCCCAGCTCTGGAGAGGCCCCAATATCACAGTCCTGGCTGGTCTCACCCGAGGCCACTCTCAAATCTTTTACCGTGAGGTGCTGCCTCTCCAGCAAGCACACAGGTGAGTTTAATGGGGGGACCACAGTCCAACTTGTGGGGTTCAGGGGCCTGGAGGACAGTGATAGATGCCTGGGAAGAAAGGATGGTGGCTGTCCATGTCCCGTGCCTCATGTTTCCCCCATATGTCTGCAGGGCAGAAGTTGTGTTTCTCCATGGAAAGGCATTTAATTCCCACATATGGGAGCAGCTGGGTACGCTGCAGCTCCTGTCAAAGAGGGGCTACCGGGCTGTGGCCATTGACCTTCCAGGTGAGTACCCCCCACATTCAAGTTTAGAGAAAGCAGGCTGCAGCAGGAATTAAGGAGCAGTTGCCAGAAGGGAGAATTGAAGGAGTAGCAAAACACTAAGGTAAAGCAGGGGCGTGTGGGCCCCGTGTCCAGACAAACTAGTTGCAGGTCACAAGAAGGCACCACAATAAAAGCCTGTTTTTATTTTCTACCTCAAAAACTACAGTGTGAGTTATTGTATGTCACAGAGAAAACAGAAAAGGGATTTGTTTCATGAGCAACCACTGGGGGAATTTCACTGTGCTTTTGTGACTATGTAATCTGTGTGGCTTTTTAAGGGAGTGCACACCTTGGAAGTTAGATAACTTGTGAGAGTTGGTTCTCTCGGGGTGGATCCCAGGGATCAAACTCAGATTGTCAGGCTTGGTAGCAAGCCCCTTTACCCATTCACTAGACAACCTCACCACCTTGTTTTGTACACGTGCACTATGCTAGCCTCTAGTTTTGTTGTTTTCAGTACTGTGAATTGAACCCAGGGCTTCAAGGATGCTAGCTAGGAAGGCACTCAACCACTAAGCTACCCCTTCAGCCCCATGCTATCATTCTTCTAATTAAAAATGAAAATGGAGGTGAGGGGTGGCCCAGGGGCTAGAGAGAGGCTCAACAGTTAAGCATGAGCTGTTCTTGTAGAGGATTTGAGTTTGTTTGTTTCCCAGTACCCATGTCAGTCAGCTCACAACAGCCTGTAACTCCAGCTCCAGGGGATCCAATGCCCTCTTCTGGACTCTGAGGGAACCTGAACTCATGTGCGCAAACCTACATGCAGAGATAGAGATAAACATAAATTAAAAATAAAATCAATATTTTTTTTGTTGTTGGTGTTTTGAAACAGGGTTTCTCTGTGTAACAGCCCTGGCTATTCTGGAATTTGCCTTGTTGACCAGGCTGGCCTTGAACTCACAGAGATTCTCCTGCCTCTGCTTCCTGAGTTCTAGGATTAAAGGCCCGTGCCCAGCTAAATTAATAATTTTTAAGCACAGTGAAGTCCTGCAAGGCAAGGTGGCACACGTCTTTAGTCCCAGCACTCAGTGGGCAGAGGCAGGCAGATCTCTGTGAGTTTGAGGCCAGCTTGGTCTACAAAGCAAGTACCGGGATAGCCAGAGCTGTTACAAACCCTGTCTTGAAAAACCAAAAGAAGAAGACAAATAAAAAGTGAAGTTGTTAAAAACCAATAGCACTTCTCTCCCATCTCCAGTTATGCCCCCACTTTCAAGCATTTCCATGCATGGAGACACAGGTGGGCCTGGTTGTACAGACTTGGAATCCAAGCTACTCAGGAGGGTGAGGCAGGAGGATCCCAGATTTAAGCCCTGCTTAGACTATAGAGTGAGTTCAGGTGTAGCCTGGCAACTTAGAGACCCTGTCTTAAAATAAAAAAGGCCCAGCCAGGCATTGGTGGCACGCGCCTTTAATCCCAGCACTAGGGAGGCAGAGGCAGGTGGATCTCTGTGAGTTCGAGATCAGCCTGGTCTACAAGACCTAGTTCCAGGACAGCCTCCAAAGCCACAGAGAAACCCTATCTCGAAAAACAAAAACAAAAACAAAGGCCCGAGAATATAATTCAATGGTAGAGTCTTTGCCTAGCATCTGTACAGCCCCAGGCTTAACCTGCCTATACAGAGAGAGAAAGACAAACAGACACACACACACACACAGAGGCAAAAGAGAAATTGGCAACATGGAGGTTGTATGTGAGGGGTTGGGAGCATGAGCATCCAGCCTACTTAATGAATATATTTACCCTTTGTTTTTCTGTACCATGACTTGTGGGTCAAGCCAAATCCTGCAAACCTCCTCTACTGTTAATGCTGCAGTGTGGGCCATGGGAGGCTTGGGCAGGCTTTCTATGCTCATTCCTCAGGTGGTGGATTTATCATCTTCAATGTCACCTGAAATATCCAAATATTTCTAACCCAAGCCTCTTTGAACAGAGAGAGCTGGGCATGGTGGTGCTTGCCTTCAGCACTTAGGAGGCAGGGGCAAGTGAATCTCTGACTTCAAGGCCAGCCTGGTCTACAGAACAAGTTCCAGGACAGCCAGGGCTACACAGAAAAACCCTGTCTCAAAAAAAAAAAAAAAAAAAAACAAAGAAACATTTGGAGGCAATAGTTTCTGTAGGGTAATTACCAAGGATACTTTTCAGTTTTTTGACAAATACTATGTTACCTTTCAGAAAGGCTGTATAGATTTATCCTTCCAAGTGTAGGTGCCCATTCCTTACATCTTCCTAACACTGATTGTTATCAACTTAAAAGTTCTGCCACTATAATGGCTGAAAGATGTTTCTCCTTTTAAAAAAATTATTATTAGTTGTTTGGTTGATAATGTGTGTGTGCGCACACGCATGACAGTGCATGTGTGGAGGTCAGAGGACACTTTATGGGAGCCAGTTTCCTCTTCACCACATAGGTTCCAGGGACCAGAGGCAAGTCACCCAGGTTTGTGCAGCAGGTGCTGTGACCCACTGAGCCATCTCACCTGCGGGAAAACCGAGTTTCTGTTGGGCCTATTACAGTATGAAAACTTGCTTCTGAGAATGACTGGGGTAGAATGTGTATGTGCCACTGGTCCTCAGCTCTTTCCCCCACTGTGGGTCAAGATCCCTTTGGGGGTCACATATCAGATATCCTGCATATCAGTTACATACACTATGATTCATGACATTAGCACTAATGAAGTAGCAACAAAAATAACTTTCTCCACAACATGAAGAATTGTACTAAAGGGTCAAAGTGTTAGGAAGGCTGAGAACCGCTCTCCTAGCTCCTCTCAGGTGAGTGCCTGCTGCTGTTCCCAGGTTTTGGGAACTCAGCGCCTTCACAGGAAGCAAGCACAGAGGCAGGGCGAGCGAAGCTGCTGAAGCAGGTGCTGCGGGACCTAGAGGTGCAGAATGCTGTACTGGTGAGCCCCTCACTGAGTGGCAGCTATGCCCTGCCCTTCTTGATGCGAAGCCACCACCAGCTACGTGGATTTGTGCCCATTGCACCCACCTCCACACGGAATTACACGAAGGAACAATTCTGGGCTGTGAAGGTACTTAGACAATGATCTGCAAAAGATCCTGGCACCCTGTCCCTGTCCCTGGCTTGTGTCACATGGGGGATGGGCTTAGAGGGTTGGCCCCTGCAGTTGCTTGGGAGAGCTGTAGTGTGGAGACAAGGCTCCCGAAAGGAATAGCTTGTGGGTTGGATCCTCACCAAGCCCCAGGATCAACAACTTCTGGCCTTGCCCTGCAGACCCCAACTCTTATCATGTTTGGGGAACTGGACCACACCTTGGCGCGAGAGTCACTTCAGCAGCTCCACCACCTGCCCAACCACTCTGTGGTGAAGCTATACAAGGCGGGACATGCCTGCTACCTCCACAGTCCAGAAGCCTTTCACCATGCCCTTCTTGAGTTCCTTGACCATTTGCCTTGAATCAACTCACTTCCCAGAACTGACCCTGAACGGTCTAGACCCTCTCTCCTCTTCCAGAGAGGCCGGCCCTGTGTGGGATTGGGGACAGAGGATCAAGCCCAGCCAGGACTTTTGATTCCATTTCACAGGCACAATAAAGAAAAGCCCTTTTGTCTAGCCTGGAGAGTGATGTTGTTTCCTGACTTGTGCCTTGTGAAGCTGCTGTGGGAGGCAAGTCTGGCATTGCACTGAGATGGATGGGGAGGCTGGAGGCGGTGCTCCTGGAGTCTGAGAGGGTACCACTTCCTCATAATCTATGCTCCCTCTCTGTGTCTCTGGGTCCCTCCTCTGTAAAATGGGCATGGTGACAGTATCAGGGAAATGATTGTGGGGTTGAATGTGGGTAAGTGAAATACCTACTAACAGGACTGAGGGTGCTTTTAAAGGTGTTACTGTGGCTGCAGTTCCTCTATGATTGGTGGGGAATACAGATGAATTCCCAACTGCGTGAGAGCAATGCAGAGTACATGAAGGTAGAGATGGCGTGTAGGTTAAGAATTAAAGCTGTTGTAGAACCACCAAACCCGATTGCTTCCTTGTTAGGGGTGAGCAGACAGAGACTTCAACCCCAAGAGGGTGGCCCCCTCTTGGGTCCTCCCCACCTGATCCCTTAGTCTCAGGGTTGAAGTCTTCTGCCCCTTGCCCCTTGCCCCCTCCCAAGCTGGCTCAGCCTCTGGAACAAGGGGGAGAACTTGCTGTGAGTACAAAGAGCATCTAGGTGCACAAGTGGACAGCTACAGTTACAAACAGCTTGCTGGTGGCCAGAGGAACAGCTCTGCCTCTGTTTCTCTCTGCTGGAGGCGGAAGAGCTTAGGGTTCAATGCAGGGTCAGCCAAGGTGCTGTTTCTCAATCTCCCATAACTGCAGGTGTCATGATTGTAGCTGGTGCACACGATTGTACATGCCACTTGGTACCTCCACCATCTCAGACTCATACTGTCAGTCACGTGGTCATATCCACCGCTACACGGATTTAGACACACCGTAACATGTTCACAGCCGCATGTTCTCCCATCCGGGCATTTGCCTTTCATTTATGGCACCTTGCCCAGACGCCCACTCTTCCTGGCCAGGGTTAGAACCCCCTGGGCACATCAGCATCCTGGAACTCACGGGGTGGGGAGGGCAGACGCTTAAAAAAATAAAAAAAAACCCCTCACTATTCAAGGAGTGAGGCAATCTAGGAGGCCCTCCCTGAGGAGTGGAGGCAAGAAAAGGACAGAGGGGACAGGATGCACTTTGCAGCCCGACACCGAGAGAGCAGATGAGTACCCAAAGCGGCTGCGGCGACTTTTAGCGCCAGGCCCCGCCCTCTTTTCTCGCCCTATCCGGAGGCTGCAGGGGGAGGAGGATCCTCTGGGGGCGGGACCATCCTGAGCTTGCGGTCCAGGCTCGAGGGCCGGGCATGGGGAAGGCGGAGCTGGCCGCAGCGAGGAGGACACAGGGGGTGGATCCCGGATCCAAGCTTCCAGTTACCCCGCGCAGGCCCCACACAGAGCCAGGCAGGGACAGCGGCACCGACTCCGCCACGGTAACTGGGACGGCCCTTACAGTCTCCAGTCTCCGCCCCTCCACCCCGCCCTGGCCACGTGGTGGGCGTACCTGGGCGGTTTTGAGATTGCGACCTCTGTGGACCCTGAGTGCCGGCCACACGGTTCCTAGAGGTCCCTGAGGACCGAACGCAGCACCGAAACCTGGAGAGAGCAAGGTGGGGGGACCTTAGGAAGGGGTTGAGGGGTATGGGGGCTCCGTGGCATAAAAGCCCGGCCTCTGGGAGAAATATTTTGAGGAGGGTGTAAGGAGTCAATGTCTCATTCAAACCAAGTTCTCCTACTTCCTTAGCTGGCTCTGAACCTCTCTAAGCCTCAGCTTTCTCTTTTGTCAAGTGGGTACACAGAGGCACAAACTTACTTCCTTGGCATGAGGAAATGTTTAGAAAGTAGCTAGCACAGCACAGAATGGGAGAAGTCAAACCAAGGTTTTCTCCTCCCCGTGGGAGCAGCATTGGAAAGGCCCGGAGTGCGGCTGCAGCCCATCAGGCCCCAGCTGCTGGCGGGAGATGGGAGTGGTAACTAGCTACTGACTTTGCCCAAACCAGCACGCGGCGCCATGACCACCAAGGGTCCCGAGGCCGAGCACCCCTCCGTGACGCTCTTCCGCCAGTACCTGCGCATCCGCACCGTGCAGCCCAATCCTGACTATGGTGAGAATGCAGGCTCTTAAGGTTTGTGATGGGACCTCAAGGGCTGGGAGTGTGCTGTACACTGTCTTCAGCACCGGTCACCCCGTGGAACCCCACCTTGCTGTTTCGGCTGCCTCCTTTCAGGTAGCCATCCCCTATATCGGTTGACCAAGGTAACCAGTCCCACTGGGCACCACTCTTTATCTATGCTGTGCACCTTAACTAGCTTCAGGTGCAACTAGTTAAGGAGTGGCTTCACCTGGCTTGTCAAGGGCTAGAGTGGGGTGGGGAGACTGGGGCAATCACAAAAAAAACACTTTGTTCCCAGTCTACCAAAGGTGTACAAAGGCTACAGCCAGGTGGGGTGGTGGCGGTGCACTCCTTTAATGCCAACACTCGGGAGGCAGAGGCAGGTGGATCTTTGTGAGTTTGAGGCCAACACCTGTGTTGGGAAGGCAGCTGTACATCTCTGAGCTGCCTGGGCTGGTGGGTACCAGCAAAAACAGTGCCAAGGCTCTCTGTTTCCCCAGGGGCTGCCATTGCCTTCCTTGAGGAGAGAGCCCACCAGCTGGGCCTGAGCTGTCAGAAAGTAGAGGTGAGCCTGGGACCCTGAGCAGGGTGGGTGTGTGGGGTTGGAGACACCTAGTCACCTGGTGCTGACTGCCTCTCTCTCTCTGCAGGTGGTGCCTGGCTATGTGATCACTGTGCTGACCTGGCCAGGCACCAACCCTACACTCCCCTCCATCTTGCTAAACTCCCATACGGACGTGGTGCCTGTCTTTAAGGTATGTATAGGCATAGATGGGTGTATGCAAGCCTGGAGGACACACATAGTGTGTAGACTTCAGGATTTCCCCCCAGGGGCCCATGGTGCTCATTTCACTAATTTTTTTGTTGTTGCTGTTTTGGGTTTGGGTTTGTGTCTCCCCATCCCCCCACCCAAGACAGAGTCTCACTATGTAACTCTGACTGTCCTGGAAATCACTATGTAGACCAGCTTGACCTCAAACTCACAGAGATCTGCCTGCCTCTGCCTCCTAAGCCCTGGGATTATCCACTATGCCTGGCTTATCCACCATTAACTCTTTAACATTCACTTGGCATGGCTCTGACAAGCAGCCTTTGTCCAGTAAGGGTTCTGTGCCAGGGAGGTGGTGAAGTCAGGAAATAAATGGAGGATGCAAATCAGCTAGCTGTTTCCTTTAGCTTTCTTTAACCCTCTTGGCATTTTAATCCTTTGCCCGGCCCCTCTTCCCACCTTTGCCCCCAGGAACATTGGCATCATGACCCCTTTGAAGCCTTCAAGGATTCTGAGGGCTACATCTATGCCAGGGGTGCCCAGGACATGAAGAGTGTCAGTATCCAGTGAGTATTCTCCTTTCCCAGTCCCCTGCTGGCCTTCTGGACTCAGCAAGAACACAGATGTTAGTGAAAGCCCCAGGCCAAGCAGGGATCATCTTGACCTTCTAGATAAAGCAGAAATGACTGCCATGACTATTTCTGCATGGGGAAACAGGCCCAGAAACGGACAGGGAGTTTTCTGGAGTCCCTGAAATACATGACAGGGAAGTGTCTAGGGCACAAGACTACACCCTTCACACCCTTTGCACTTAGCCTCTGCTCCCTTAGATACCTGGAGGCTGTGAGGAGACTGAAGAGTGAGGGCCACCGCTTCCCTAGAACCATCCACCTGACCTTTGTGCCTGGTAGGAGTGGCTGGGGGAGGTGCATCTTGGGACGGAAAGTGTGCTGTGAGGCATCTCCCATCTCATCCCTGACACTTTTACAGACGAGGAGATCGGAGGTCACAAAGGGATGGAACTGTTTGTGAAGCGGCCTGAGTTCCAGGCTCTGCAGGCAGGCTTTGCCCTGGATGAGGGTGAGCAAACTGGCAAGCCTCCCAGGTGTAGGGAGGCTGCAAGGGGAAGCTGAGTCACTCCACTCTGTATACCCACTTTCTCCCTCAGGCCTGGCCAACCCCACCGATGCCTTCACTGTCTTCTATAGTGAACGGAGTCCTTGGTGTGAGTATGGACTTGGAGTGCGGGAATCACTCTCTACTGCCTCCTTTCCTGTAGCCATCCCCTGGGTCAGCTGACCAAGGTACCACCCTTTCCTTATGCTGTACAGCTTCATGTGGCTAATATGGCAACTACTTAAGGAATGACTTCACCTCACCCCTCAAGGGCCACTTTTAGCCAGGTGGCAACTCAGCCAGAAAGGGCTTGCACAGCACAGGGTCTCCTAGAAGCCGACGGTCTGAGGCATCCAGACTTTTGCCTCCTGGTTCTTTCCTTCCTAGGTTCTAAGGGCAAGCTCTTGACGGATCCTGCACTATGCCAGGGGCTCTATTCAGAATACTGTAGGGCTCATTGTATCTCCAGCTATCTGATGCTGAAAACTTTGTTTCTCCCAGGGATACGGGTTACCAGCACTGGGAAGCCGGGCCATGCCTCACGCTTCATTGAGGATACGGCAGCAGAGAAGATGGGGTGGGGGCCCTGGGGGGACTGGGCATTGGGGGGGGGGGGGGGCTCTGTCCCAGGGGCCACGCTCACATGTCACCTCATACTCTCCTAGCATAAGGTTATAAGCTCCATCTTGGCATTCCGGGAGAAGGAAAAACAGAGGTAAGGCAGCTAGGGAGGGGGTGGGGTGTGGGGGTGGCTCTGGAAGACTGTGCAAGACGGGAGGGAGACTTGTGCAACCCTTCTTTTATCTGCTGTTCCTGCCCCCTGCCGCCCCCCCCCCTCGCCCTGCAGGCTGCAGGCGAACCCTCACCTAAAGGAAGGGGCCGTGACTTCTGTGAATCTGACTAAGCTCGAAGGCGGTGTGGCCTATAATGTGGTGCCTGCTGCCATGAGTGCCAGCTTTGACTTCCGAGTGGCACCAGATGTGGACATGAAGGTGCAGCCTCCACCCACGTTGGAGGGAGAGATCCTGGGTTCTCAATCCTGTCCCAGAGCTCAGCTCATTTCCCTTCCTTCAGGCCTTCGAGAAGCAGCTGCAGAGCTGGTGCCAGGAAGCAGGCGAGGGGGTCACCTTTGAGTTTGCTCAGGTATCAACTTGGGACCTGTGACGAGGGAGCATCAGGGCCACTAGAGGCTTGTCTTACTGAAGATGATGATGTAGTGTGCCTGGAGCATCTGTACACATCTGGCCAGTCCCTTAGCTGTGAGAGATGTTTCGTTTACCCAGTCAGCAACAGCTGTAGAGACCATTGTGAATGTTGAGGGATAAAATGGGGGTCTTAGCTCACGTTCCCTACAGCATGGGGGACGGAAGCATAAGTATTTATGTACTTTGATAGATTTGGAATGTCGCTCCATTGGTAGAGTGCTTGTCCAGCATCCTTGAAGCCCTGGGTTTGATCCCCAGCACCTCATAAAGTAACAGTGTGACAAATGCCTAGACTCTAGTAGTGGGATGATGAAGACCTGCCTCAGTCACATAGTGAGCTCAAGGCCAGCAAGTGCTACCTAAGACCCCGCCTTAGAAACAAAACATAGGCAAGGCATGGCAGGGCGGTGGTGGTGCATGCCTTTAATCCTAGCACTAGGGAGGCAGAGGCAGGTGAGTTCGAGACCAGCCTGGTCTACAAGAGCTAGTTCCAGGACAGCCTCCAAAGCCATAGAGAAACCCTGTCTCGAAAAACAAAACAAAAGGCAAGGCATGGGGGCTTACACTTGGGAGGCAGAGGTAGGATTTCTGTGAGTTTGAGGCTATTCTGATCTACATAGTGTCCTTTCAGGACAGCAAGGGCTATGTAGAGAAACCCTGTCTTGAAAGAAAGGAAAAAATACTGTGATGTGATTATATGATTATGTACACATGTGGTCCAGTAAAATGGAACCTTGTATTCAGAGAATATGTATTCTGCCAGTCTGAGGCCCAGGGCTTCAAGCAATTGGACTAGGGTATGAAGTTTAGTGTGAAATAGATGGAGAATGGGGAATTAGGGCAAGTCCCAGACCTAGGGCATTTGAAGGACTGGAAGAGGGCCTGGGGCTACACTGGAAACCTTGGTAGATTCGTGGGTGTGCCCTGCGCCAAGCATGGCACATTCTATGAGTAGTAGAGCTTGAAGTCCTGGTCCTTATCCTGTCATCCTTCCCCTTCCCCAGAAATTTACGGAGCCCCGAATAACACCCACTGATGACTCAAATCCCTGGTGGGCAGCTTTCAGCGGGGCCTGCAAGGAAATGTGAGCACTGATGAGCCCTCTCCCCATAGCCCACATCCCAGAACCTCTCCTCATTGTCTTTCCCACTGTCCTGCGCCCCTCTGGTTCTTCCCCTGCCTTCCTCCCCATTTACCAGGCTCTTCCCCTACAGGAACCTTACTCTGGAGCCAGAGATCTTCCCTGCTGCCACTGACAGCCGTTATATCCGAGCGGTGAGCTACTTGCAGGGCATGCCAGGCAGTGCGCTGGTCTGAAGGCTGCCTTTCCCCTGACAGCGCTGTATCTGTCCCCCCTGCAGGTGGGGATCCCAGCTCTGGGCTTCTCGCCCATGAACCACACACCCGTGCTGCTACATGACCACAACGAACGACTGCATGAGGCTGTTTTTCTCCGTGGGGTTGACATATACACACGTCTCATCTCTGCACTTGCTAGCGTGCCCGCCATGCCTGGTGAAAAGTGAACCCTGTGCCTTCCAACCTCTTCTTCTTTCAGCCCAACCACTGCCAAGGATCGGTTGCCCCTGCTTGGTAATAAAGCCAGTGTTGGATGGGAAGTTCTTTATACTGTGGACAGTCATGGAGTGGGGATTTGTGTTTTTCTGGGGACTTGCTCTCATCTCCATTTCACAGATAGGAAAATTGAGCCTTTGTGCTTTTTTTTTTTTTTTTTAACTGCTCTGTGCACGGCACACCATGCAGCACTATACAGCCATGTTTGTGCCTGGCTGGAGGCCCCAGTCCTGTGAGCCAGCACACTTTGGACCTACAAGGGTATTGAGGGGCTGGAGAGGTGGTACACTGGTTTTCCTGAAACAAGTTGGGCATCCCCAAAAGTGTTATCAGCCGTGGCTCCAGGAACTGAACACTCATCTAAATCCCATAAGTACAGGACAGGGGAGGTGGAGATTTTTATGTACCTCGTTATAGACAACTACTGGGTGTTTTTGATAATGACCTCTGCTAAGAGGCCTGCACTTTGAACTGCTCACACAGTGCATTAAGGTCCTAAAACAAGACATTCTGCACTAGAGCTGTGGCTCTCCAGGAACAGAGGTTCCCTAAAGGGACTGCTTTTCTCACAGCAGCAAGGCTGCCTCCTCTCCTGCCCTCCCTAGCCAATTTCCATACATGGATAGCAAGAATACTGACACACCTCAGAGCAACCCTATCACATACTAAACTTGTATTACAGCATCCCTCTAAGTCACCCAAGGGTCCAGGGATGGATTAAGACTTGTTTTGAAGGTCAGTTGTATTCGGGGAAGGATCTACTGACCTCAGAAACACAAACTACTAATTGGTTGCTGAGTAAGACCCTGAAGCTGGCAGTCAGCTTAATCCTTGGACCCTGGGAGCCTAAACCAGAACTAGAACCATCAAGGCGGGGCTGCGTAGCTGGTTCAGTCGGCTACCCTTGATCATCCTGAGTTCTGATCCGTTATCCTCTAAATACATCCCAACATGAGCATCATGACATCCGTACACCTTACAAAGAAATGGTCCAATATCAGCCTGGGCCAAAAAGCTCTTGGGGTTGGCAGGGCAAAGCTTGCCACCAAGCAGGGTGAATCCCCCCAGAACACTATAGAGATTTTAAAGATCTTTGCCTGTAAAGCCACCTAGAGTGATGCCATCCCGGGAGCAGCACATCCCGGCAGTGTACCCTAGTCAGGTGCATCCATGACAGCTCTAGTCCTGGGTGACCAGCCAGAGCATGCTGGAGAACAGGTTCCTTCCCTTCCCGACAAAGGTGTTTCTTCCAGTCCCTCAGCTTACAGAGCAGTCTAGATGCCTTGGGGCTCCCCAGGTACCAACATGCCATTTACTAAGCTCCTCTCTTATAGTCCAGGATACTATTTCCTGACTCCAAACCATATCCCCTTCATCCAAAGCTACAACCAACCCCGACTCCAGAGAGGGTAGCAATTCTACCCTAGTTCCATGACAACAGACACAGGTTAACAGGTCTTGCTTCAAGTTTATTTGTAAAAACGGCACAGGGCATGATCACCTGCAGATAGCGTGTAGGCGTGTCACACCAGTCCATCTGTCTTCACCCTGGAAGAAACCTTTTCTATGGGGTCTTCACAGGGGCCTAGGCACCTTTGGGAACATGAGCAGGAGCTGAAGCCGGGGCCTTGGCTGGAGCCGAGGCCTCTGCCTTGGTTTGAACCTTGGGCTTTGGTTGGCAGAGCCTGCGACCCTTGGCCATGTAGCTTCTAATCCGCTTCCCAAGCTTGGGGTGAGCCATGAAAGCAAGGCGGCTGAGTTTGCGGCTGGGGCCCTTCGGCATCTTGGGCTTTCCCAACTTCGGCTTCACCAGGTCCTTGATGGCCTCTGCGCGTGCACTCATGGCCTTCGCATTGTTTGCCTGCATCTTCTTCAGGCCTTTCTTGTTGTGTTTCTTGGCAAAGCGCATGTTCCTCAGAAACTTGGGGTCGACCTGGAAAACAGAAAAGATGTGGTAATAATATATGACAGTCTCAAGTCATTTCCTGGAGCCCCTATCCACAAGGGAGACACTAAATATGTCAAATTAACCACGGAGGGGCTAGAGGATATGAAATTCTATGGAGGAGCTCTAGCTTCAAGTTTTCTGAAATTCCTCTAGGGCTGCCCTAGGATGTCAATTAAATACCAAGTCCACCGGATTCACATCAAAGAGCAAGACTGCAGCAAAGAACAGGCCAATTGCAGGCTCAGCTAACTCCCAGGACCCACCCACACATGCAGCTCACTGGTCCTTAGTCTGGTACTAGACAGGGCCAAGTACATAGAGCCAATTAGTGCAGAAGACAAACCACAAGGTACCCAATACACAAGATCCCTCCCTCCCTCGAAGGTTTCTGCAGAAGTGCTTTTGTTGTTAGGAGCAAGTAACAGGAGGAATGGGAAGGTCAAGGAAAGCTTTGCTGAGTCTGGCAGGGGAAAGAAAGGAACAGAAGGCACTGGAAAATCAGGAAGCCAAAGGGCAGTCAGGAGTAAGCCAGAGGCTGATCCCAGAAAAAGAAAACAAACCACAACAAGCCATGGAATCAAGGGATAATTTATGATCCAGAATACACACTCACCCCCTTAAGAGATTCGTATCTTTGTGATCGAGGTTTCTTGATGCCATTTCTGTGCCACTTCCTGGCTGTATGGTAACAAAACATTCACAGATCAAAAAAGATATTTTCTGTTAAGACCACCTAACCGTGATTCTCAACCTGTGGGTCGCCTAAGACCACAGGAAAGCATGTTTATATCATTTTTTTTTCTTTCGAGACAGGGCTTCTCTGTGTAGCTTTGGAGCCTATCCTGGCACTCGCTCTGGAGACCGGGCTGGCCTCGAACTCACAGAGATCCGCTTGCCTCTGCCTCCCCAGTGCTAGGATTAAAGGCGTGTGCCACCAACGCCCGGCTTACATTACAATTTGTAACAGCAGCAAAATTAGTTATGAGGCAGCAACGAAAGCAATTTTATAGCTGGGGATCACAACACAAGGAACTGTATTAAAGGGTCGTAGCATTAAGAAGGTTGACAACCACCGACCTAACATCACAACAAGCACGGTCTTTCTGAATTTTGAGAAAACGCGACCGAGTGCAAAGCACCGTGGGCTTAAGTGGATTTCTGGCTCCCAAAGCTGTAATTTCAAAACCAGGGAACACACCACCAGCGTCGGGCTCCCGGGAGGGCGACACGTCCTCCCTTCCGCTATGATCTAGAGACCCTAAACAATCCTTGCCAGAGTACAGGGACCGGCTGGACCCCAAAGAACTTACACTGGTTGTGTGTGGTGTGGTTCTTGGACTTGGCCATGTCTGAACCTGCAAGAGAAACATGCGATCAGGGCTGGGGTCCCCCAGACCGGGCCACCTTTGTGATCGAGGTTTCTTGATGCCATTTCTGTGCCACTTCCTGGACTGGTTGTGTGTGGTGTGGTTCTTGGACTTGGCCATGTCTGAACCTCTCAAACGCCGGCAATGAGGTCCTGAAATTAACTTCGCCGGCCCCGGAGGAAGCTTTCCCTACCCTGAGGACCGGGCACCGCTCCCGCCCCGCAGCTTCTACGCCCCATAGCCCCGCAGCGGGCCGCCCTGTGCCCCCTCGGCCCGCACTGCACGCCCCGCGACCCGCCGCCGCCCACGGGCCACGGATGGCATCGGATGCCGCAGCGCCAACACTCACGGTATCCGGCGGCTCCCGAAGCGCCTGGGACCGGAAGAGAAAGAGAAAGGCCGCAGTGCAGCACGGGAAGTAAGACCGACGCCGCCGGAAGGACCGACGGAAAAGGCTTCCCTCCGTACTGGTGGTGGGGGGGGGACAAAAGTTCCACAACCGGAAAGGAAGGGCTCAATCCTAGATCCCGCCGGGTTTGAGCCTGGCCCCGCCCTCTTTAGCGTCGCGGATTTCTTTCTTTTCTCTCCTCCTCTCCTTTCTTTTTGACAGGGTCGTCCTTGCTCGGTAGTCTAGACTGGTCTGTGACTCTGCATCCTCCCGCTGCAGCTTTCTGCTCCCGGGGTTAAGATCGCGGTGCAGGCGTGGACCACGACGCGGGCCAGCCCCGTTCCTGTCCTCTTCTTTCTCTTCCTCCAGGGCCTGCTTCGCTCTTGGGGCTTGGCTTGTTTAAAGACCCCGAAAACCAAGGGATGAAAGTTAGGGAGCGATGAATTCTGTGTTCTTAAAAACCTCACCTATGCCTGGCGTTGGTGGCACACGCCTTTAGTCCCAGCACCCTCAGGCAGAGGCAGGCGGATCTCTGTGAGTTCGAGACCAGCCTGGTCTACAGAACGAGTTCCAGGACAGCCTCCAAAGCTACAGAGAAACCCTGTCTCGGAAAACAAAAACAAAACGAAACGAAACCTCACCTGGCTCCTGTGTGTACAATGAACTGTAGAGGGCAGAGGAGAGGAGGAAGGGAGAGCACCACACAAGGGTGCTGGCTGCCTGAGGATGCTCAGGAATGAACTAGGAAAGAGAATAGACTGGACTTGGGGTGCAGAGGATGAGGGAGAGAAAAGAGACAATAAGCCAAGCCTGGTTCAAAAGTCTGGGTGGATGGGGCTGGTTACACAGATGAGGACAAGAGTCAGCTTTATGGTTTCTTTTTAATTTTTGGGTATTTCGAGACAGGGTTTCTCTTTGGCTTTGGAGGCTGTCCTGGAAACTCTTGTAGACCAGGCTGGCCTTGAACTCAAAAAGATCCTCCTGTCTCTGCCTCCCGAGTGCTGGGATTAAAGGCATGTGCCACCACCACCCAGCAGCTTTGTGGTTTCTTATGTGCATTATGTGTGTGATGAAACCGGTGAAGTGACATAGGCTTGTAATAGCAGCTACTTGGAGGCCGGAGAATTACAAGTTTGAAGTCTGAGTATCTCAGCTAGACCTTGTATCAAATAAGTAAATAAATTTAAAATTTTCTCCTAGGCATGGTGGTTCACACCATCCACCCAGCACTTAGGGACTAAGTCTGAAGCAGAAGCAGGAGAATCAGGAGTTTGAGGTCATCTTCAGATAGCTGAAGATGTGCATAGGCTGGACAGTGTTATATCCTGTCTTTAAACGCAAAAAACAATGTGCTGGTGAAAGCCGGGTGGTGGGCATGCTTTTAACTCCAGCACAGAGGAAGGCAGATATCTGTGAGTTCAAGGCCAGTCTGGTCTACTAAGTGGGTTCCAGGACGACCCTCGCCCCAAATAATAATTAAAACAAAACAATGTGCTGGTGAGATAAAAATCTCAGCGGGTAGGAATGCTTGCTGCTCAAGTCTGAATTCGAACGAACCCCATATCCAATTGAGGAAGGATAGGACAGACTCGTGGAAGTTGTCCTCTGATTGCCTTAAACATCCACATACAGACTCACAACAATCGTGATTAAAAAAAAAAAAAAAACAACTTTTTTTAGCTGGGCGTTGGTGGCACACGCCTTTAGTCCCTGCACTCAGGAGGCAGAGGCAGGTGGATCTTTTTGAGTTCAAGGCCAGCCTGGTCTACAGAACGAGTTCCAGGACAACCTCCAAAGCAATACAGAGAAACCCTGTCTCGAAAAACAAAAAAAAAAAAACAAAAACCATAATTTTTTGTTTGTGTGTTTTTTTGAGACAGGATTTCTCTGTGGCTTTGAAGGCTGTCCTGGAACTAGCTCTTGTAGACCAGGCTGGTCTCGAATTCACAGAGATCCCCTTGCCTCTGCCTCCCGAGTGCTGGGATTAAAGGTGTGCGCTACCACCGCCCGGCTCAAAAAAATTTTTTTAAGAAAATAAAGTTTAAAAAATTTTAAAGACAGGACAAGTTACAGTGGTTGAAGGCCCACTCGTCCCATTCTCTCTGCCTTGCTAAAAAACATTAGATTACATTCCTGAAGTTGACCCCAAGGTCTATTCCCATATTTGGCCACTTCCTCTGACTGCCAAAGCCCAGCAAACAGAAGCCTCCTTTGGTTCACCCAGTTAACATGCCCGATTACACATCTGGTTCTAACACGAGGTTTCCTCTTTACCTTTACAAACCACCATTTGCCTAGATACCACATCCGTCTCCTCTCTGTCTAGAGACAGTCCTTCGTCCCTCTGGAACAAATACCCCCGCCCCCTTTCCCTTGCTCCTATTGCCTTCTCCCTTGTCCCCCATCTCCTGTCTCTGTCCCTTATCCCTGTCCTCTACAAATAAATCTCTTGTGCTGAGAACTTGGTGTTGGGGGTCCTGAGCCCATGCTTTTCCTTACAGTGGTAATATAGCTATGTAATAGCATGGAGCATGTTAGTATGATATGCATGAGGCCCTAAATTCAATCCCTGTACCAAAGAGAGAAACAGGCAGAGAGGGGGAGAGATCAAAACCACGTAAATGTTGCTTCCCAGTGACTCAGCTGCCCTCTGTTCTTTGCCCCACATTCATACCCCATATTGCAGTGAGGCCTGAGGTCCTTTTTATACCTGTTTTTAAATTGTATTTGTTCATGTTTTGTCTGTGTGTTTGTCTGTACCATGTGCATGTCTGGCTCCCAGGGAGGCCGAAAAAAGACACTGGATCTTCTGGGACTGGAGTTACAGATGACTGTAATTCCCATGTGGCTGCTGGAATTGAACCTGGTCCTCTGGAAGAGTACTGAGTACTGAGTACTCTTAGCCACCAACCAGTCTCTTCAATTGATTTAATCGAGAGAGGGGGAGGGAGGGAGGGAGAGAGAGACAGAGAGACAGAGAGACAGAGAAACAGAGAGACAGAGAGAGGAGCGCTCAAGTCATGACAGGAATATGGAAGTCAGAGGATAACTTACAGGAGTCAGTTCTCTCCTTCCCACCATGCGGATCCTGGGGACCAAATGTAGCTTGTCAGGCATGGTGGCAAGTGCCTTTACCCACTGAATCATCTCATCTCATAGGCTGGATATATTGTATACCTTTTCATTTTCACTTATTTTTAGATGAGGCCTCAAGTGTTCCAGACTGGACTCAAACGTGATATGTAGCTAAGGATGACCTTACATTTCTGATTCTCCTGCCTCCATCTCCTGAATGCTAAGATTTCAAGATGAGCCACCATGCCTGGTTTTATGCATTGCTGAGGATCGAGACCCCAGTGTAACACGCACACTAGGCAAACTAACTGAATTTTATCCTCAGCCTCTGAGGACCGTCCCTCTGAAAGATTTGTACCAGATAGCATCTCTTAAATAATTCTCAAGTTCACACCTTACACAAACCCTTTACCTGTTGACTCTGGCAACTCTCTGTGTCAGGTACTTGTCTCCAAACACCTGGCCTTTTCTGCCAGGCACAGATGCCTGGTCTTCCTCGAAGCAGGTCTGGAGGTCTGTACAGACAGACAGGAAGTGATATGGCTGGGCAGACAGGAATATAAGGTGGGAGGAGACAGGTGCTCGGTCTCTTTTCAGTCTGAGGATTTCATAGAAGTAAAAGCTCTAGTGGCTGGCTGCTCTGCTTCTCTGGTCTTTCAGCGTTCACCCCCTAATATCTGACTTTGGGTTTTTATTATTAATACCAATTAGAATTCATGCTACATCTGGCGACAAACATGGGGCTCAGATTCATGAAAAAGCTGCTTGCCTGTGGCTTTGAAGCCACCAGCACAGGCCATAGATGCACGCAGGGCTCCTTCCAGAGTCACCGCCTTACTGGCTAGGTTCTCCTCTCTTTTTTCCCTAAGCCTCTAAGTGATTTTGGAATTTTGTTGTTGTTGTTGCAGTCTTTCTGCAGCAAACTCCACAGGCCCCAAACTCCAGAGGCACCAGGGCTCCAAATGCCACAGCCAGACTTACCCACCTTAGACTGGCTGGCTCTGCCTTCAGGCAGCTCCCACACAGTCAATCTATTTCTAAAGAAAAAAGGGAGCTATGATATAGAAATGATGAAAAAAGGTAGATTATTGAATCTACTTTAATCCAAAAAACAACCATTAATCTCAAAATACTTTACATTGATATGGATTTTGGTTTACTGATACAAATCTAAGATCAATTTTGTTATACTGTATATATATATATATATATATATATATATATATATGTTCATTTCTACTCTTGGTTAAGGCTATGCAGCACACTTAAAATGTTATGTATGGTTAAGAAATACAAATTAATAGTCATCTATAATAGTCAAACTTATACTCATGTTAGTTAGGTTTTCTTGATATACAGAGATATATTTCAGATGGATAATCTTCAAACATTTCAAAGACCTACAGAAAATGGCATTTAAAATGTTTTAAGAACTTAGAATTTTCTCAAGAGTGAGACATGGCTGCTCCTGGCCACACCAATTACTTCAAGAGGACGGTGGGCATCAAAGAAACTCTTTATGGAGTTTGCTTATGGCAAGACTAGCCATTTGGGCAAGAAGCTGCTCTTGCCTGGA